GCTTGTAATTGAATCTTTAGACAAAAACATAAAAATGCACAGTATGGCCCTGAAGCAGTTTCTTGGACCACGTAAAGAAACATTGCGAAAGATTATCCCTGATAATGTATCAATTCTAAGGCTGGGGTACATGCAATGTCTAAAGATTGTAATTTTTCGCGTTGAGGTTATCCTTAGTAGGTGCCCTTTTTCCAGAAAATGCCCTTATTTGCTGGTGCACCCCCATCTTAGAGGAAGCTTTGCCGCCACTTGCATAATACCTGCAGACAGTGCATCATTGACAGATTTCCATATATCATCTACATATTCATCAGCTCTTGAATCTGGAACATGAAAGGATCTCCAGACACCAACCATTCGCAAAGCTGTTCTTTCGATGATACTGCTACCTGGTACATCAGTATCAGCTTTCATGTCCCGGTAGCATCGGAACTTGATGCTGTCCAGGGTGCGGTAAGATAACCCAAGAGCCTTTCCGAAGTGATAATATTGAGTAATGGTAATTCCTTTCATGAAGCTGTATTCAATGCTTGCATCACCAATACTAAATGGGAAAATACATAAAAAGGGAAGAACAAATTGTTTATGAATCTATTTCAACTTTAGTTTTCTTCCGTGAGGATATAGCTACTACCAAATTAAGATGTTCAAAGGGGTAGGAAGTGAAAAAAGATAATATCGACTTTATAAATATGTGAAGTAATGAAGTTGTATTGTGAAAGCAATCATCAATGAAATTAGATAAATGCCTTACCCAATTATTGCATTGTGCATATTTTTTGTATTCATATTATCATAGATTTGTCATGGTTAACGTCATGTTCATGTTGTTAAACATGGGCAGTTAAGATTCATGTATGTCAACGTATGGGTCAGATACATTTTTTAATTGTGTTTTTTAATTATCAAAGGTCATCTTAATCATGTTGCAATTTTCTATTATTGATATATACGTACTCTGGTTGATATTGGGCTTCTTCGCTCTCGGTAGACTTAATGGATATGGCATCAGATGCAGATCCTGCAGCAGAAATTAAGAGTATGATTCAATAACGCAACGGATTAACTTGCACATCGAGGGAGACATAACTAAAAGCTATTAAAAAAAGGCAAAGACTGAATTGACTATGCCTTGAATTTGCTTTTAAAACATTCGTATATATATCCTCTAATCCATTATGTAATCATACCTGCCAACCCTCCCGAATAATCAGGAATATCCCGTTTTTCTGGATTTTAAGGACCCCAAAATGCAGGATATCCGTGATTTTCAAAAGTTCGTGTTTTTTTTTTTTCGTTTTTTTGTTTGTTTTGTTTTTGTGTTGCTTAAGCCAAATTAAGCTTGTTTTATCATATGCCTCGATGTGAGAGTTCACGTATTGCGTGTGTTGAAGGGCTGCATGATTGAGCAGCGAATTTGTATTCGCTTTTTTGCATAGATTTACCGCGTATTGCCAGTTACACTGCCGCTGTATGTGCGAACGCCTGTTAAGGGTACAGATTTTTTATTTTCGAAGACATACCGTGCTAAAAATTCTTAATTCTCATTTTCAAATGTTGGCAGGTATGTGTAATTTGTTAATTGAAAACATAAATCATCCAAAAATAAAGACCCGAATTGTTGGGATTTTTTAAACCAAAAGGGAAACCCTAACCCATCTCCGTTGTACCACATTGTAGTGTGGTTGCATTAGGCCCGGAGCTAGTATACCTGACTAATGCTCATTAATTGTCTATATATATATATATACTAACTAATTTTTTACAAATATTTGTTGATTTCACATTACCTGCAATTATGCTGCCAGCATTGCAGTGAGTCAAGATCTTTTTCTAAACGTAGGGCATCTTCCTCTGTCTTGATGTTATTTCCTTCATTATTTTACGATGTATTATTGATATATATCTCATTAAGGTTTAAAAATAAATTCAGTGGTACGGGTGTTGCCCCGTATAGATACGAAGTATGATGACGCGTCTAGTTACTCTCACTTACCATTAGATAATGCCATGAAAGACATGTTACACAATAGACCTGACGTAGTAGAATTTATCACCGACAAATCGATGACTTTAGCATTGTCTTCTGGCGAAATGCTAAATGATAGCGTGACAAGTTTCTTCTTGATGTTGAACATACTCTTTCCTGGAAGGATCTGCATGAAAAAAAATTGAATTATATTGAAATATCTTATAGATTAAGTATTACCACCATTATTTGAGAACGAAATATAAATAAACACACATATATACAACTACATAGGTCTAATGATACCATTTCCATAATTGTGCTACCACTGTAACTTGTACAAGTTGAATTATACCTCGTGCTTAAGTGCTTAAAAAACTTGACTTTTATAATGAAATATAACCTCCCAAATAAACTGTATCTACTTTGTATAACTCATAACGAAGACTATATCATACATTTTGCTCGTAATAAGCATTTCCTCGAGTTTGAGTCGATATTAATACCTATTCTTTTCAAATGCATGCCTAGTATGATGTAAATAAGTTAGCAACCGTTTTCAGAATGAGGTAACTCACATGTAATGGCTTTAGACTCACATTCATTGCTTTAGCCGAAACTTGGTACAAATGAATGTTTTCAATACTTTTGGAAGAGCTTGCTGTTTAGTCGACCGTGGCAGCACAATTATGAGAATGGTATCATTAGACAGGGAGTTAGTTACACTTTACCACGAATTTATGATTAAAGGTCATATAGATTTTTAATTTGTTGGGTACACTTTTGTATACGCACCTTGTGTATATACATACAAATAAACCGATTTTATGAAACTTTATGTCTCAGAATAAAGAAGGGCTTGCGCTTTCAAGCGTCTAAATCAGTTGCATTATTGAAGAAAATAAGTGTGTCGTAAATGATGGTTTAAACAAATCCAGCCAACCCAACAGAAATATTATATCTTACAGTTTTACTCTCATCACACGTGATGACTATATCTTGTGGTTCTGGTGTAATGCTGAAGATTATGCCGGGATGTACTTGGATGTAAGAAAGAGTGCCTTCTTCACTTTCAATCTCCTAGTTAAAACAAACATACATAATGAAGAAAATGTGAAATTGGTTAATAGTTATTCTTGAAATGACAAGATGACCAACGACGACGATAACAATGATAATAATGATAATAATAACAATAATAATAATAATAATAATAATAATAATAATAATAATAATAATAATAATAATTATAATTATACTAATAAAAGTAATCGTAACAACCACAATGATTATGATGATAATAGTAGTAGTAGTAGTAGTAGTAGTAGTAGTAGTAGAAATGGTAATAATGATGATAAAATAAATGAAATAATAAAAACATGATTTAACAAAACAAATCATAACAAATTGCAAAAGATAACTAGCAAACTAACTGATTCATTTACATTTTATGTTGCCTTTAGCTGTATTCCAAAGTTCGGTCCTTTTAAAATAATACCCAGTGTCAACGACATGTATTAGTGAAACTTCAGGCGTAAGAACAGAGATGGAGATTGTGTATGGGAGAGGTGTCGGTTGGTGGGTAAGTTCATGGGTCGGGGTGTTCAGTCTGTATAATTATAATGTGATCTCTTACGCTTTTACTAACTCGTGCATCACTTTATCCAAACAAAATAATCAAGATTGCATTTAAGTTGTGATTGTTATATGCTCGGTACAATGACAATGACGGGAATGTCATTCTGATTACTATTCTGCTGATTCACCTTTGCAATTCCTGGTAAATCTTCATGGATGTAGACCCGAAGAGTGATGTTTTCCTTTTGTTCCATGTCTCGAGGAAGAAACGGTGTGCACACCAGTCGCTTACCATTGGCATGTTGATGAAGCTTCATTGGTATCCAGAGGCATGCCTTGTGGTTGATGTCAACGTTGCCATTCATGGCGAGCCTGACTTTCCTATCTTTAATGATACATTGTGCCGTCTGCTTGTCAGTAGAGTAAATTCGGTGACCTGAGATTGGAATAGTACGTGTCCACAATGACTGAATTAAAAACAACTACAAATAATTATACAAATGAATGATATCATAAGAAATTTACACACACAACTGTCATTATAGCAAACAATACGAAACGAAATAGAACCACGACAAACTTCTTTGAGACAAGGAATGATTGAAGATATTTTTTTCATATAGTGGATTCTTTGTATTTTCATGTACATCATGATACAAAGCACAGACTAACAAACGGCAAAAGAAAGAACTTTTTTCACCAGACAAAACAAACTTACCATTATTCCATTCGGAAACGGGAATCTTTTACCAAGAAAATTCGTTTGTATGAACTGAGTATAGGCATTTACAACATAAGCCTTTCCTTCTGGTGTTTTTGGTTAAGATTTGTTGAATAATGATCTGAAATGCTCTTTATGTTTTCCATAAATGCTTGTTAGTAAGCAACCAGATGACCGACGCCTTAAGGTCCTCTCCGAGAGATTATTAATCGGGCGTCAAAAATATCGATACCAGCAGGCTGCCGCCTCACGTATTGACGCATCGAGGCTGCAATTACGGCCGAAGCCTGGCTGGGGCAATTATTTTTCACTTATTAGCCCAGCCGGCTTGCGCCAGGCTGGGATCTGAGGCTCGGTTTCCATTCGAAAGGCGGCAGCCGGCGCATGCTTTTGTTCGGAGACCATTATGATGACATCATGAGTTAATTGAGGGTCCTACCGCCAGCGGTAGCCGGCTGAGCTAATTTAAAAAATGCAGCCAGGACGCACAAGTGCAGTTAGCTGCCGCTGGCTGGTATATTTATTTTTGACGCCTCGCCTGTCCTCTTCGAGAGACCTGGTAATGAGAATTAATGCCTTACCAAAGGGCACTAGTGCATCGCCTTGGTTTCGAACCCGGGTCACCGGATTACGAGACCACTGCTCTACCGACTGAGTTATCATGCCTTCTATATTGCACTGAAAAGGAAAAGGATATACATGTGTATTTCGTTTCACTTCATCCATTTTAGTTTAAGTGTAGCTTGAAATGAAAAATCCTCGCTGTTCTTTACCTTCTGTTGATTGCGTAGGCCTCCAGATAATGTCCGAATGAACATCCGATGACTGAACTGTCACCGCTGTGTGGGGAATTGATAATGTTATAGGCCGTTCCATTGAATACGTCTTTTGTTCGGGGAAGGTGCATTCTATACCATGAGTTCCAAGGAACTCCCCTTCTTCGGTATCAACTTGTGAAGTATCCGCCAAGCCGATAGAGACATTGTGGTAAGAACCAGGCCGCACTGCCTGCGGTGGGATGTTCATGGATACGTCGAACCCATCCAAATACAGGATTCCACCCTCATATCCAACTCTTCCTCGGATATACGCAGCAGGTTTTACATCAGGAAGTTCTGTAATCAAAATTGAAAATAAAACAGAAAATCTCGCCACTGGCTTCCCATTGAAATGAGTCTAGTTCGGAATAAAGTCAGAAACCACTAAGCATCTCTTTACCCCCACAACCTGATCTGTTATCCGATCTTGTTGGGTAACGTTGCCATTGTTATGTTATTGTATTGCTTTTGTATTTTGCAAAAATAGGAGACTGATGCAGTACCTTAAACTTTACATATAAAGAGAGAAACAACGCAATCTTGGAAATGATCCTCAATAATGTATCAATTAGAATAAAGGGGTGAATATCGATTCTAACAACAAATAGCTTCCATGCTACATTTTGTAGGTGCCCACCGGTTCCCCTAAAACAACTATTCATTTCTTATTCGTGCATCCCCCCCACCCTCCCCCTACTTTGAAAGTTGCTTCGCTGCCCTTGCTGTAAAGTTACCAGTGCATTAGTCTTTCGAAACATCCGACATATTTAACTTCCAGAAGAGTTATTACATCTTTAAAATGATTAAATTATGTCACAATAACAACCAGTGACTTCTTCATTTGGACCTGAATGGATGCTAATAATGATTGGCTGTCGAAAGTTTGCGCAGAGTTTGATAACTGTTTTTTCGAAAAAGAAAAACTTACCACGGTACGAATGAACACTTTCCTCTTCTGAAATTCTAGATAAGACACAAAAATACAAGCATACCGGAAATTATAATATACATGGTGATTCAACTGATGGCACATGCTAGTATAACATTCAAAATATTGATAAAAACAATTGGTGCACATTTTTAACATATATTGAAAGGGGAATAGAAAAGATATAATTCTTAGATTTAAAGAAATGTATATCATTCGAGAATGGTTGGACGAAAATGACTTGGCATGATTTTTTACTGTGTGTTTTAAGTTCGGGTAAATAGAGTATCCAACAATAGTACAATCTTTTGAAAAACACGTTATTCCAATGTAATTCAAATATTCTAATGCAACTCTCAAGTTACGATGTTTCAATGGCATCAATATATTTTACATGTACACATAAATTCTTCACAACAAAATGTATTTGTTTTCGAAAACGTACATGAATTTACTTTAAATACATACATTTACATCAATATGTTACCTCTGTAACAGCAAATGCCGAACTAGCTCGCTCTTTGCATATTGTACTGGTGTCAGCCCATTTGTATCCTTGATATCGATGTTGGATCCTTGATTTAATAGAAGTTGCACCATAGCCTCCTCTGGTAACATATCTCCACCACTCTCTTCCTGAATCTTTTGAAATAGGGAAAAAATGGATGATAATTTTGGTTTTATATGTTCATTCAACATTTACTGGCAGTTTCTGAAAACCTTCAAATCTAATTGACAAGTGAACAAATTGCAGATGGAAAGTTTTAAACCTCATATGATTTATTTCACAATATGAGAAATGATGTATTTATGCAAGTCTATGAAGGGATAATACAGAAAACATGTTGTGTCTATTTTCCTAAACATGTATTATAACACGGATAATACGGATAAGAGGCACAATTCCGATGTTTGCCATGGGCAACATTATTTCTAGATCTCTTGGTAAATTAAAAATATATCGCTTGAACGGAAGTTTTTCCAAAGTTAATTTCATTGAATGGAAAACAGTGGTAAATAGTAAAAACCTGCTTGATCTTTGGCGTCAATTCCACGCTTCTTTCACTACACTGGCATAGTTTGACAGCAAGGTGCAATGGTGTCTGACCATCATTAGCTTGCCCATTAAGCTCGGCGCCACGGGACAACAACAACTCTAGTACTGATGTTAGCCCTTTAATCGTCGCTAGATGAACGGGTGTTAGGCCATCTCCGTCAGAGAAGTTGACTAATGATGAGTCCTGTGAACGGAGAAAAGGTCAACATATATATCAGATGTAATTTTGATCTAGCACATTCTTACGTGTTAAAATGCACATATTTCTATCAATCATACGAAACCATTACATGCAATACGTTTAGATGGCCAAGTAACTTAATATCGGACGCCTCTTAAAGGTAATACAAAGTTTTGGTATGGGGTCATGAATTTGGTTCAAATAAATATATTGGAAGCATATACGATCCTACAATATTCAGTGATCGTTGTCGCGGTCGAAATCGACTCTAAAGTTATGAAATTGTAAATAATAAACATTTTATGTTGAATAGCTCCCTCTCAAGGTCAAGATATTAATTAAGCTACAAAACATGCTTATTGACTAAAATCGACAGATTAGCTATTGTCGTTCGGAAATTATATACCACAACTACATACTCTGAGATTTTCATGGTCGCAGCTACCATGTACGGCCGTAGGAGCTATTTGAAATTCATCAAAATTTACCGGGAGCACCGGTAAATCTTTATATTCAATTTTTCTCGAAAGCAGAAGTGTTATAGGGGCTAAAATTTCTGGTGTTTTTAATACATCCACAGGGGCATTCAAATATATCAAAATTGTAAAGAATCACTATCCACCCATTTTTCAAAATTTCCCAAAACTTTGTAATACCTTTAATACCGGAAACCCTGGAAATGGCTATATATCTCCGGAATTAAAATTATATGCCTCGAAAGATCAACGTATTTTGGCGGAAGGGTCTACCCAGTGCAATAAGTTTACTATACAGTGCGTCCCACATCAAACGAAACCGAGAATCATCGATGTTTTATCTTAACTTAATCACAATTATAATTAATAAATGACACATATTTGTAAAGCGTAGCTCCTCCTCTTTCATTTGATGCAACTCATGTAATGCATATTTCACGCATTAAGTGATTAAAATGAATTTTGGAGAGAGAAAACCAAAAAGTCATTTGGCGGACGGTATCTGAATTTCAAAGAGAAAATCACATTTCTAGAAAGTTGAGTTTCTATCCTTTCATATGACACCTCGGTCAGGATAAATGAGCTAGGAATAACAAAGTTCTGTTTGTTTAAAGTAGTGCTTGCATTTCCATAATTTTATCAAGCGAATTCGTTTTCACTTGCTGCCTGACGTAGCAACACACGGAATTAACAAAGGACTTAACTCCGTTTCGTTGACAATCAGCCGTAGAGGAAAGACTTCATGCATAGCCTACCCTTAAAGTGACTCGGTAAAATTGTTGAAGGTTGATGGAAAAACTGTGTAACTTTGGTATGTAGCTTATTATATTCCTTCTACTGTACAAACCCTCTAACATGCCAAAAATCCTGAAAAAGTTCTCAAACCACAAAGATATCTATGATTTTTTTCTTTTAAGGAGTCACTGTGCGACACCCTGTCACAGTAAGTTCTCCCAACCATTTTTGAATTTTCCCAACCGTTTTTCTATGAAAAAAGAAATTACGACAGCCTTTAACAAATATTTCAACAATATCTGAAATGGTATATAGAGCCAAATCATTACGTTGTGTCCATTTACATTAACCTTAAATGTGATTAAATTGAATAATATAGTTGGGAGAATTAAGGAATCATCCAGATCAGTTTTTCCCAATTTTTATTTCTAATAATGGTTTGTTTTCACTCAAGCTTTCAGATTATCTCTAATTGTACATTTGGCATGGAAGTCACTACCTAAGCACAATTTTTCTCATCGGAATTTGAATATTCTATTGGGAATACCATAAAGCGTGGACTTTGTTACCTTATTCAGTAGACTATTTGAGATATCAACGTTGCCAGAGCTAATGGCCACATGTATAGGCAGCTGGCCTCGTCTTGACAGTCTTGAGGTTAGTCGTCGATCAAGCAGGACTTCCATCACCGTTTCATTTCCGCTGTGTTGAAAAGAAGATTAGCAGTGTAAGGAATGTTCTCTCTGCAATAATTACGTACTATTTTGTCTTTCTTTTAGATTCTCCTGAATATTAACGTAGGGCATGAATAATCATATCAGGGCACGAAATACACATAACTATGTATACATTTTTTAAAGCTGTTTAAACATTTTCAACTGCGCTTTAAGACTGTATAATGAGTAAATTAAATACACGTAGGCTATGTCCTAAGAACATTAAAAAATCGCCCACTACTCGCATATTTCGAAAGAAATATGAACCGACCCTGAGGTAAGCATTTGTGCTCTCAAGCATCAAGTGACGTTGATTTAGAATGCAAGATGATAACGTGAATTCAAAACGAAAGGCATTGAAATGGGGGAAAACTCGTCAATGAATTAAAAAGTAAGTCAGTATACCTCACTGCAGCATAATGAAGGGCTGTCCACCCTTCTGCATCTTCTGCCTCAACATCTGCATTGTTTTCGAGAAGCAGGCGTACACAGTCCAGATGTCCTCTGCTTGCCGCAAGCATCAGCGGTGAGGTACCTAGAGTGTCTGATTATCAATACCATTTTAAGACGAGATTTAGGCTGCGTTCAAACACAATTTGTTTTCACCCAGAATCAGGGTTTCAAACATTTTTTCGCCGGTCCTAAAATTAATCACGATTGAGAACTTGTCAAGATTCGATTTGAATTTTAGAAAAGGGTACGTTTTGAATCATGATTATGCCATAATCACAGTTTTTGAAACTGTATGAACGCAATGGATATCTTAATCATTATCATGACGTAACAATTCAAGATGTGATTACTTGAGAAAAAATAAAGGACAAAATTATGAATGCTAATAGAAAAAAAAAGAGGGGAAAGAAGGTGGAAACAAAATGATAACATACGAAAGGATAGAAAATGGAGTGCTAAAATGATGGATAGATACAAAGATTTAACATGAGCAAAGAGAGGAGAAGAGATGAAAGGAGGAAATCAAATAGTACATATTGAATGACATCGAAAGAAAGAGAGAAAGAAAGTAAAGATGGCAGAAAGAATGAAACAAAAATTAAATCAAGAAAGATGAAAGGAAAAAATCACAAAAGGGCGAAACAAAGAGTAATACAAGACATGAACAAAGAGAAGATAAAATAGAATAATAGAAGATATACAATAGTAGAAGAGATGAAGGAGGAAAAAATACAAAATATGAAAGGAAAGGGGAATTATTGAAGTACAAAATAAAGATTATCATAGGGCAGATAAAAAGAGAAAGGAAAATTAAAATGTAAAAGAAAGTGTTAAAGGTATTACAAAGTTTTGGGAAATTTTGGAAATCGGGTGGATAGTGATTCTTTACAATTTTGATATATTTGGATGCCCCGGTGGATGTATTATAAGCACTAGAAATTTTAGCCTCTTAAACACTTCTGCTTTCGAGAAAAATTGAATATAACAATTTACCGGTGCTCCCGGTAAATTTCGATAAATTTCAAATAGCGCCTACGGCCGTACAGTGGTAGCTGCGACCATGGAAATCTCAGAAGATGTAGTTGTGATACATAATTTCTAAACGGGAATCGCTAATTGATCGATTTTAGTCAAGAAATATTGTTTTATAGCTTAATTAATATCTTGACCTTGAGAGGGAGCTATACAACATAAAGAGTTTATTATTTACAATCATTTCATAACTTTAGACTCAATTTCAACGGCGACAATGATCACTAAATATTGTAGGATCGCATATGCTTCCAATATGTTCATTTGAACCCAATTCATGACCCTATACCAAAACTTTGTATTACCTTTAATGAATAGCCAAAGACCAACTTAATGTGATCACGTGAGTTGTATTTTAACAGTTAATTCTACTTTAGATTAGAGATTTTTTTAAAGAGAAAGGCGGGGCTATTTTTATGGGAAACCAGTGGGAACGACCTATTAACATGCAACGTCAGATTTTCCTGATATTCCATTCAACATTTCGCACAGAAGGATCGTTTGATTTGTGTTTCCGAAAGTGATAATCCATCAAACTTGTAAAACACTTTTCTTTACAGATTTTTTTTGACGGACAAAGGGCCATACAAGGGTATATTTGACCAAAAAAATAAATCAATGAATTGTATTACCTTGGCCTTGATGTGCGCCTTTGTGAAGGATGTATTCAAGAACTGGAGGATGGCCACTGAATGATGCTAGGTGAAGAGGTGAAATATCGTCTTGATCACGGGAAACAATATCCGCTCCTTTACTGTCAAGGTACCGAAGTACTTCAAGATGGCCAGCGAATGATGCATTGTGAAGAGGAGTACTGCCGTTGATGTCACGCTTATCGAGCTGCACTCCATTGCTGAAAAGATACTGAACAATTTCAAGATGGCCGTTGGATGATGCATAGTGAAGAGGTGTGCTACCGCTGTTGTCACCCTTCTCGAGTTGTGCACCTTTGCTACCTAGATACTGAACAACTTTAAGGTGGCCATTAGATGACGCATAATGAATTGGTGTCCTATTGTCAACGTCACCCTTCTCGAGACTAGCCCCGTCATTTATCAAATACTCAACAACGCCAAGGTGACCCTTATATGATGCATAATGTAGTGGTGTCCACTTACGCGCATCAGAAATATCAGGTTTTGCCCCTTTGCTCACGAGATATCGAACTAAGTCTAGACACCCTGCAGATGAGGCATAGTGCAGGGGGTTCTACCAATGTGATCTAACTTTTCAACACTTGCTCTCATACTATCGAGATACTGGACAATGTTCAAGTGGCCTTTTATGGATGCGTCATGAGCAGGTGTGGTGCCATTATTATCGACGTTCTCAATGTGTGCTCCTTCGCCAGCGAGCGACTTGATTACGTCAAGATGACCATTGTATGATGCATAATGAATAGGTGTCCCCCCGCCATTATCATACTTCTCAACCTCTGCTCCTCTACTAACGAGATACTGGACAATGTCCAAATGTCCATTGGATGATGCATAGTGAAGGGGTGTCAAACCACCACAGTCGCCTTTCTCTAATTCTGCTCCTCTACTAACAAGGTACCGAACAATTGCAACTTTACAATTAATTGATGCATGGTGAAGTGGTGTTTTTGAATTGTTATCACTTCTCTGAAGGTCTGCTCCTTTACTATCAAGATATTGAAGAACTTCCAGGTGCCCATTGCTTGATGCAAAGAGAGCAGCTGTTTGACCATCATTGTCAGTTTTTTCAAACTGTCCCCCTTTATCAATTAGATATCGGACAGTAGAAATATGACCAAAAGATGATGCATAGTGAAGTGGTGTCATACCACCATTCGCACATGTATCAATCTCCTCCCCTTCGTCATGGAGATACTCAACGATATTGAGATGGCCCAACATCGATGCCAAGAAAAGAGGGGTTCTACCCCCTATATCAACCACATCTAACCGTGCTCCCTTCTCTCGTAGATATTTCACAACTTCAAGATGGCCATATAATGAAGCATCATGAACAGGTGTTAGACCACCATCAGCAATCTTTTCAAGGAGAGCTCCTTTACTGACAAGAAACTGGACAACGTCAAGCTTGCCAGTGGTTGAAGCACAGTGAAGGGGTGCCATACCATAATTTGAATACCTCTCAAACTGTGCCCCTTTACTCCAAAGAAACTCCAAAACCTCAAGCTTACCTAATTGTGATGCAACATGGACTGGTGAGCTACCTTCATTGTCACTGGTGTCAATCTGGGCTCCGTTGTTGACCAGATACTGAACTATATCTAACTGATCATGTCCTAAGGCATAAATGAGAGGTGTTTTACCAGTCATGTCCTTTTGCTCTACCGTTGCTCCTGCAGAAAGGAGACACTGAACTATACCAAGGTGACATAGTAATGATGCATAATGAAGGGCTGTCATACCTTTGTCATCTGTACTGTCAAGTTGTGCTCCTTTACTAATGAGAAACTGAACTATATCCAGGCATCCAACCGATGATGAAATGTGAAGTGGTGTCATGCCGTTATCTTCTCTCTTTGCAATCGGAGCTCCTTTGTCAACCAAATACTTAACTACATCAGAATTACTGTTTAATGCTGCGGTGTGAAGAGGTGTCGAACCAACATTATCACTCTTGTCAAGGCGGGCTCCTTCGCTTACGAGATACTGGACAATCTCAAGATGACCATTGGCTGATGAAAGGTGAAGAGGTGTCTTGTCGTTTAATTCACCCTTATCAATTTGTACTCTTTTAGTGACAAGATACTCCACAACGTCAAGATTGCCTCTGGTTGAAGCATAGTGGAGGGGTGTCTTTCCATTATTTGAACTAGTGTCAAGCTGTGCTCCTAATCTATCAAGACTCCGAACAAGAGCAAGATTGCCCTCCAATGAAGCATAGTGAAAAGCCGTTCTTCCATAATTATCCTTCTCCTCAAGTTGTGATCCTTTACTCACAAGGTACTCAACAATATTACGATGACCCCTAATAGACGCATAATGGAGTGCTGTGCCGCCTTCTTCATTTCTTTCCTCGACCTGTGCCTCGTTTTGAACAAGATATTGTACAACATCGTAGTGACCACACGCTGATGCAAGATGCAGTGCTGTATAACCATATTTATTCTTCTGTTGGATCTGTAGACCTATGCTAACAAGATATTGAACAACTTCTAAAAACCCTGTAGAAGAGGCATGATGAAGTCCCGTCGTACCAGTCTTATCAGTCTTTTCAATTTGTGCTCCTTTGCTGTCGACATATTTCACTATTTCAAGATGACCATTTAAAGCTGCACTAAGAAGAGGTGACCGACCATCATTATCATCCTTATCAAGTGAAGCGCCTTTATTGTGAAGATATTGAACTAATTCTAGGTTACCTTTCGATGACGCAATGTTAATAGCTGTGTGACCGTTATCATCAACCATGTCAAGTTGTGCTCCACCCTCGACGAGATATTGAACGACATGAATATGCCCCAAGCGTGATGCGTAAAGAAGAGCTGTCTGGCCACTAGCGGCAACCTTCTCAAGTAGTGCTCCTTTTTTACAAAGATATTGAACAATTTGATCATGTCCACTCAATGTTGCAAGATGTAGGGCTGTGTTCCCTGTTGCCTCGCTTATGTCAAGCTGTGCTCCTTTTTCAACAAGGCACTGAACAATCTCAACATTTCCTTTGAACGATGCATAGTGAAGAGGTGTCAAGCCACTAGCGCTTATCTTATCAAGTTGTGCTCCAATTCCAACGAGATAGTGCACAATGTGAAGATGATCACACCTTGATGCAATGTGAAGTGCTGTCTCGCCAACATTATCTTGCTTATCTAGGTGAACCCCTCTACCGTGAAGATACTGGATAACATTAAGATGACCATTTAATGATGCATAGTGAAGTGGTACTTTACCATCATCGTCAGCCTTCTCTAATGTTGCTTCTTTGCTGTCAAGATACTGAACTACATCAAGATGACCCTTCAAAGATGCCAAGTGGAGAGGTGTCTTACCACTTTTAAATCCCTCTTCTAAACGCATTCCTTGGCTATCGATCAAGTACTTGACAACATGAAGGTGACCGGCAGCTGATGCCAAATGAAGAGGTGTCCAACCTTTCTCATTGGCATTATCCGGCTGTGCTCCTTTATCTATAAGATATTTTACAATATCAAGATGACCCATGCTTGATGAAAAATGAAGAGGTGTCATACCGTTATTACCACACTCATCAAAAGCTACACCATTATTAACGAGATAATCAAGCACATCGAGATGACCACTTGCGGATGTATAGTGAAGAGGTGTCAAGCCATCAGCATCTTTTTTTGCTATTTCTGCTCCCCTAATATGTAGATACCGAACCACATCAAGATGACCACTGTATGATGCATAATGGAGAGGGGCTCGGCCATCATTATCGCAAGTATCAAGATTTGATCCGATACTGTAACAGTGTTGAACGTAATCCAGATTCCCTCTGAACGATGCATAGAGAAGATATGTTCTGCCATATTTATCAACATGCAAAGGATCTACATCCCTCCTTGCCAGATAATCATCTACATTAAGATTACCAATGAAATGTGCATCCGGAAGAAGTTTTTTACTTTCTCGAACAAAAGAATCTACATCCCTCCTTGTCAGATAATCATCTACATTAAGATTACCAATGAAATACTCATCTGGAAGACGTTTTTTACTCTCTCGAACAAAATGATCTACGTCCCTCTTTGCCAGATAATCATTTACATTAAGGTTATCAATGAAATATGCATCCGGAAGAAGATTTTTACTCATTCGAACGCCCCAACCGATCGGTAATTGAAGATCAGTGAAGTATAGGACAACGTCAGAATGACCATTAGACGATGCTAATTCAATAGGTTTCAAACCATCTTTGTTAACCGCCTCAATATTTGCTCCTTTACTAACTAGATATTCGACGATAGGGAGATGTCCATAGAGTGATGCATAGTGAAGTATCGTATTACCATCCTCATCAACATCTTCGAGATATGCCCCTGTACTGTCTAGAAATTGAACGATGTCTAGGTGACCATACCTAGATGCACAGTGAAAAGGAGTCGCGCCCTCGTTATCAACCAGCTCAAGCTTGGCTCCTTTGTACTCCAAATAGTCAACGATATTAAGGTATCCTTTGCGTGATGCAATATGGAGGACCGTTTCTCCTACCGCATTGGGAGTGTTTATCTTAAGGACCCTTGTATCCCTTGTTTCGCTTTCTAACAATGTCTCAACCTTCCCGAGATCACCTTCATTTGCTGCCGTATAGATATCCATGTTTGCGAGGTGGTGGTTTTTTTTTCTATTGAAAATGTTGCAATTCCTGTACCATGTCTACAGGCAATTCGTAGCAACAGGCATGAAGAGATAACACTTTTAGAGAAGTGTTATATTTTCAGGAAGTCTGAAAGCTCTGTGCTTGGCCCGTCTGGGAAGCTGGCAGTAACATGCCTGGTTAACATTGACCATTACGTCGTGATGAGACTTTAGCTGCACAAATGAAGTATGGAAACTCCTTGATCCTATGAATACTATGTCTTTACTTCAAGGTTATGTAGCGTTATTATATTATATTGTATTACGCCTGAAGAAAAGTTAGCTCCAGCAAAAAGTGCAAAAAACAGTGTTCGTCCAGTGAATAATGATCAAGATTGACGCCCAAATTTAATTGCCTTTCCATACATTTCAGCAGAACGGTTAGCAGTACGTTCTTCAACAGCCATGCGGTCGAGATGCTCTCCTTTCCATTAAATGCAACACAGACAGAACAACCGACTAAGAAAAGTCATATAATTTAGGTTATCTTATCGATATTTATATAAATATTGACACATCTCTCGTAAAATTGTCTTACAGGCAGTTTGATATTTCGCGCGTAAGTAAAATGGTTAACGTAATCATAAGTAGATAGCCCAGTGACCTGTGGAGATAATTACACAAGTACCCTGCACAACTATTACGAACTATTTGTCGACCTTTGGATGGGCTGCTCTAAAATTCCAGAATAGGGGGTAAAATTTGATCCTGGTTGAAGGGAACTCCTGTTGTATTTTATATTTCATTCTGTCCAGACTGCGGGTAAATTGTAAATGTATGTATAGATCCGGATAAACTGAAGAAGAATACTGACGTGCACCAACGTGTTAGTCTATGAAGAGAAATTCCGTTATTTAAATGAAAAGAAGAACATGAAAACATTCGCTGTTTGCGCCCTCACAGAGAAAGAGGGTTCAGGGAGAAGGGGAGTAGCACAGCAAAGCAACAACAAATACAAAGCATTACTGCACTGGCTGTTCTCTTTAGCTTGCAGTCGAAAGATAAGGATGATACAGCCTGATCCGATTATTTGTATACAATGCATATCATTTCCAAAGTACAAAAAAGAAAAACAAACAAGATAAAGTCTATCAAAAGCAAACATTGTCTAACATAATGATAACTAATCAATCATTATGTATCCGATATTTAGTCACGTAGACGTAAACATGAAATTCTCCTACTTTGACCTTGGATCCATACAATTATTATATTATATTATATTAGCAGTGGTAGCAAATTCATCAGTAATAGTAGTATAAGTAGTATTAGTAGTAGTAGTGTAGTAGTAGGAGTAGTAGTAGTAGTAGTAGTAGTGTTAGTAGCAGTTGAAGTTGTAATAGTATTATAGTAGCAGTAGTAGTAATAATAATAGTAATATAGCATTTATACTACAAGTAGAAGTAGTAGAAGTAGTAGTAGTAGTAGTAGTAGTAGTAGTAGTAATAGTAGTAGTAGTAGTAGAAGTAGTAGTTGTTGTAGCAGCGGCACAAAAGTAATAGTAGTAGTAAAAGTAGTTGTAGTAGTAATAGTTCACTTATATGCTTCGAAGCAACATCTAGAGGCCTCATAACCAAACAAATGAAAAGGTTAAATGTTAGCGGCATTTGAAAGACAATACTTATTTAGACTTCCCTCAAAACCAAAGGGTTTTAAAATGTAGGGAAATAGCGATCATTAGTTGTCGAATCGACATAAGTGATTGCAACCACCTAAGTAATAGTCTGATTTTTAGACCCTTGTACCGAATTGTCATACGTTTTGTGCTGCACAAAGATTCAATCAGTTTAATTTAGGCCATTACAAGCAGTGGCTTATTAATGTAGAAACATGCTCATGTACCTGTTACAGCTCGTTTTATGTACGTTATCACCAAAGAAAAAAAAGATGTCAGGTAATCAGTCACTCAATAGTGTCTGACAGTAAAGTCTAGAAATTTGAATACTAGGACACTGCTAACGTTTACATTTCGCAGATAGGACATACATGACAAACAAAAATCATAATTCCTGCAAAGCTCTACAGAACTGAATTTGATGTTGGCTTCAAAAGGGACATAGTGTCTTTAAGGCTGCCATCCTAAACAAGCGTCACTTATGATGGCGGTCTCCTGCACGTTTTTTCTACTGATAATTAGAAAAATACTGTATATTCATAACCGACTCATACTCTATCAAAATATAAAAACAAATTGGGGGTCCAGGTGCATCCCAAAGAGCTATAATGGATTTTGTATAAGCATGTGTTTTCCCATATATGCTATGTATTACATGAAATGGAATAATGCAGAAATGAAATACAAATTAAATATGGTGTTCTTTCCGTTTTTGGAGTTAGAAATTGCGATTGTGTTCTACAATCTACGAGCATGAATATATAATTTGGCCTCTTTTTATATCAGTACGTGCTTTCCGGCTTCAAAAACACTGTGTAGGGGACACTTTCCCCGTGTCGGGGGGGGGGGGGGGGGAGGAGGGGAGGTGGGTGAAGAGAGAGGAAAAGAAGGAAGCGAAAGAGATATTATGTGTATGGGTGTGTGCGTGTGTGTGTGCGTGTGTCTGAGGAAGAGAGAGATACAGAGAGAGAGAGAGAGATAGGGAAGGTAGAGGAGAGAGAGAGAGAGAGAGAGATTATGTGTATGTGTTGGTGCGTGTGTGTGTGTGTGACAGAGAGAGACAGAGACAGAGAGAGAGACAGATAGTGAGATAGGAAAGGTGGAGGAGAGAACGAAATATAATCGACTAGATCAGAGAAGCTTGATTTAAAGCACATTATTCTAAAGGGAACTCTTCTTAAATTGATATAAAGAGGGCAGCACACGGACACTGCCATAATCTCCCAAAGAGCGGTTTCGGAGAACAGCGCATAATACCGTAAAAATCGTACATAATACAGTCATACGAGCGCCACAGGCTATCGTCGATCCAACAAAGCAAATATACCAAGAGAGGACCAGAAACTATACGCCCTCTCACATTGCCTGGTGAAAATACAGGTATCGCACGTCCATGAGTTGCCCTCCATATACCCAAGCTTGAGCATCTAAAATAGTATCATTTCGCTTTGTATTTTCCTTTCTTTGCTTGAAGTGATAATTGACAGAGTCGAACTTATAAATTCTAAAAACCCTAACAACAACACGTTTATCGCGAACAACGTTTGCAAGTCAACAAGTGTTGCCTAGCAACGTTCAACGCTCAGTGTGTCATATACGTGATAACGAGATGGCAAATAGCACGTGTATAGTTGTAGTGATGAATTAAAAATCAAGATTTGAAAGGACACATGCGCTATATATGCGGAAGGAAGGGAAAAAGCTTAATAAAGAACCAGTTTTACCGTGTGGTGGATTTCATATATTAAGTATCGGGTTTTACAATTTATATTTATAACCATGCAGAGGTAGAGTTGAGAATATAATACTTATTAGTGAATGGTTTATTAAAAATAGTGAAAATAGCAGTCCGAGGGCTGACTTACATTCAGTTTACAATAAAAGCACATGAAATATATAGCAAAGTTAAAACAATTATAACGGGGCAAACTGAGAAGGGAAACAAAAAGACAGGGGAAAGAGGAATAGAGAAAGAGAAATCTATTAAAAGAAAGAGAGACGGACAGAGAAGAGGAGGACACATGGAAGAGTCGCAAGCAGAGATATTAGAGCGTGTACATCTTGTCTCTGCAGGGCTATGTATGTGCTTGTGGGTGTGTGTGTGTGTGTATATATATGTGAGAGAGAAAGAGAGAGAGATAGGGGAGATAGTGAGGTACAATTCGAGAGGTAGCATAAGACTGATAGTACACGAAAAACAACAGATTAATTCGATAACGGTACATGGCTATTGTCAACAAAAGAACAAGCAATTCAAGGACCCTCAACGTACAGGTCTAATCTAGAAACATGAACATTTTTGTTAAATCTAAAGAAAACATACAAATAATTATTTCTACATATTTTCAGCGTGGCGTGTTCACATACAAGAGTGATAATCGTGTATGTCGGAAAGGAAGGTCCACGAGACAAGGTGTCATGCTTTCAATTTCTTCCCCTAACCGAATTCCTGACTTCAACTGTGGACGAAATACCTTTCATTATAACACTGAACCTATCCCTAGACCTAACCTAATTAAACCTAACTCCAGTCATACCCCTTAAATCCATACCATTGAAGTTCTGTCAGGGTAAATATAGTAGGAGCAAATCTCTGGTTACCAGTGACGTGAGTCAGAATAATCCTCACTCGCACACGCACACGCACATATCAACCGCGTGCACACGCGAACACAGGCACGGAAAGTAAGATAGGTGGCATACAAAATACTGAAGGGAAAATGATACAATTGTCACGAGTAACGTGTTTTAGGCACTATATATGCATACAACTCCAAAAGGAACGTATAGGCCTAGACATTCATAACATTAATTGTATAACTATTACTCTTTTATTTTCGGGAATTAGAATCTTCTTCACGGGCATCTTTCGGGTATCAAGTTTTGATAATGCTTTTATACTTATCAATCCTTTTACAATTCAGCAATGCAAACAATTCAGAGTGTTTTGTAAATACATCCATTTACTTTATTGAAATGATTTTATTGTAAAAATGTTATGCGTTGAGTTTTATTTTCAATACGAAAAAAAACATGAAAAAAAAGTAAATATAATCCTCCTGGAAATTATTTGGTTCTTAGATGGTGTACTTAAACGACCCCATTATTCTCTCCTTTTTGTTCATTCCTCGCTACCAGATCCCTGATTTGTTCCTGGTACGAGGATCCCTATTTGTCTTATCTATCTAACAAGTTACAGTGTATTAATTAATCCTAGCAACGTAACACAGCAAACAACTCGGATTTAATTACTCCTATACACGTTGTGATAAAACACTGCGTAGTTAGCTGGTTAATTATACCACAATACCGTGTTACGCATATAGCGCGCGTTTGATTGGTGTCT